AGTTTCCTAACTCCCATTCATATAATTAAGAATTAGAAACCCATGCACCTGGAAAGACCTTGACCTTTAATGCTTTCTTGTGTCTTAATTATCCCTTTTTAGATTTCCACACATTCACATCTACTTAAGATTGTGAGGAATTCACGTTCCTGGATAATAAAGACATAAAAGTGCATTAAATTAGCTAGACATTCATTTGATTTTGCATATTAATGAAACATAAAATTCTAATACTATGAACAATAATGCACAGATATTTTTATCTTAATAATTTTATTATGTAGACTATTTTTTCCCTATCAGTGTTCTTATTGTTCCTGTATCGCTAACCATAATTTGCAGCTATGTTTTTAAGTACAACATTTACAGTACAAAATGATTGCCATAGGAGAAAAAGTCACTAAAGATTATATTTCTAGAAAATAATATAATTACTTTATAATTTTAGTATGTAGGGAGGTATGGGTGGGGTGGGAGAAAACCAAGAAAAGCTTCACAGAAGACATTTTCTGTGTGGAGCAGGGTGGTTCACAAGAAAATCCAGGTTGTATCAAGGCACAAATTCACCCATGGTGGTGTGCTAGTTTTCTATTATGCAGATAGAAGAAGAAAAAAAAAAAAAAGAAAAAAAGAAAAAAAGAATCAATAGATGAAATGGAAGTAATTTTAACTTTGGTTTTTTTCAGTGTTTTTCCAGCAGCTGTTCAACCTAGATTTTGTTGGCAGTGATCTTCCTTTCAATGCCATTGAAAACTCATCTACAGAAAGGCTTCAAATCTTTGTGAGAATGACAAGTCAGTAAATTAGAAGTGTTACTATTAACTTGGGACCTGATTCTGTCAACATTTATGCAGGTGCCTAATTAATTCTTGTAGTTTGACTGAGAGATGTTAATGGATCACATTAAGTGTATGCAAAACTGTTTTCAAGACCACAGCTCAAACTAAGAAACCAATATTTAATTTTTCCCCCAAAGTATTGATTTACTTCTGAATCTGAAATTCATAGCCAATCTCTCTGTACATAATAAATGAATCATCCTCTGTCTGATGCATTTACAAGTTTCAACTCCAGGTACAAATTTTATGCCTCTGCCTGAATTTTGCTTGTAGTTATTTCACTGTCAGCATAAGAATATCCTTCTTTGTACCATAAATGACAGATGAGAAATACTGGAGGTTTTGTGGGTGCAACTGAGTTAGGTATTTCCTCATACATCACTGTTATGGAGCTCCTCAAGTGTGGCTCCATAACCTTAACTGGAGAATAATACAGTTCTTAACTCAATTTCCCAAAACTTTACTGACAACGTATGATTAGAGAAACTCTAAGTAATAGCATTTTATTAATTTAAGATAGTTTTTTTTTCTTGCTTGTCTAATCAAAAATGAGCACTGATGTAAAAATGCTATTGTCAAGCAATTCGTAACATAGTTTAATAGCTATTTCCATTTTGAAACAGTAGATAATGTTCACATGTAAAAAATGTAAATTAAGGACTAAACTGTAGCCAGGTCTGCAAAGTCAAAGTTGTTGAAAGAAGCTTTCACACCCAGTGGGCAGTCCCTATGGTAATACACGTGGTCAAAAATGAGTACCTCATGTTCACCAAAATGAACAAAACATAGCTTTCCGTCTCTTCCCTGTGGCCTGATGCTTACGAGTCTACTACTTCTGCTGCTTGAATGGATGAATGGAGTCATGACTGTTGGCATCTTTCCAGTGACACAGTGAGAAAAATGACCTGTGGGGCTTCAGTCTGGAAGATTATTAGTGTAAGGCTTCATTGGCTGAGCTGAAGGACTTTAAAATTTATGTAAAATGGGAAAAAATCCCATAAAGAAAGAATATGAAAAAATATCGAAGAGCCTGTCATCCTTTGACAACTGAGCTCTGCTTTGACCCCTACCTTATTTGTTCCTGTTGTACATCCGTTTCAAGCAAAGGGTGATTGTAAGTCCAAAAACATTGTTTTAGTAAAGTAATGTATGAGTTTAGTATTTTGTATCTGTCAGAAATTAAATATTCATTCCTGATGAAGAGCGTTTCCTATTGTAGCACATTTTGCAGTATCTGGTGCTGAACAAAGACCCTATAGCTGCCTATTAAATACTTTAACAACAATTTCCATGATACCAGGGGGAGTTCTGATTTAGCAAGTAAATTATCTCTTAAAATATTTCACTTCTTTATCTCCCTTGTAGATCTCTGTGCCTAAGAATAAAACTTCAGAGGGTCTGCTTGTGACCGGATCAGCATGTACCCCTGCCCACTGTTTTCCGTGTGCTTTCATATTCATAGGTCAAGCACAAAACAAATTGGAAAACAGTAATTGTAGGCCAAATATAATGTTGAGATGATAAACGTAAATTACAATATATATTGCAAGAGGAGAAATTAATTGCTCAACTAAAATAAGTGTGTTTATCTTCATTTTTGGGGGTAAAAAACCTGAGCAGTGAACTGTTATCAGGCTATGAACAATTTCCTTGAGAAGTTAATGAAAGTTCCTTCATACGAGTATTTTAAACGTGATTCAAAGTTAGGTTCTGGATAAAGAGTATAGAAGCATTTCTGTTATTTGGACTAAATTATGTTACCAAAACATAGAAATATATGTTGGGATAGAACCACAAAATGTGAGATTTAAAAAAAAAAAAAAAAAATTAGATCTTTCTTTTACATACGCTACAAAAATCTCTATTGGGTACTTAAAAAATGGGCATAGCACTGCAACAAGGGCCTCACTGTGCAACTTCAGAGTATCTTCTCTCAAGTCTTTTTTTTTCTGTGTTTTAATAATTCTAGATTGATATTTGCCATTTTTTACAATAGCATCATATTATGAGACAAAGAGACTTCTCTTTCTGGTTTGACAGTGCACCACAGGTACAAGGTATTCCTTGAGATGCTTTGTCTTACGAGGTCCATGCCCACCTCATAGTAATTTAATTTAGATTGCCATTGTTTTACTTCTAAGAATATCATGGGTGGCCATGTCAAAAATCTTACTGAAGTCAGGTTGTATCATATCTACCCTTTCTCACAACCCACTCGTTAGCTGCCCTGTCAAGGAAAATATTGTAATAGCTTGATGCAAACTATTTTGACAAATCTGTTGCCTTTTCAACATCTGCTTATTATTTGCAAGGTAATTAAACATTAACTGCTTTACATCATGTTTCATTTTCTTTCTGAGTACTGAAATTAGGCTGAATATCTTATGATTCTTCCTTCTTTTCTTCTCTACCTTTATATAAATAAATATGTGCTTTTTTTTTTTTTCTGAATCCCTGGAACATTCACTGTTATTGTTTTTCTTGAGTTCTCAAAGATGGTTCAAAAACTGCTTTGATTATTTTCTTAAGAACTGCAGGGTAAATTCTATTATGCTCTGTTAACTTGAAGACATATTTAATAGATACATTTCTTTATGTTTATGTAGATGTTCTCCAAACTACCCTTTCCTAATTCAGGTCTGTTGCACTTACTATTAATTATGTTAAATGACTACCTCTGCTATTTAGGAAATTCTAGACAGAAATTTAAGGACCCTAAAAATTAGGGTTCTTTTTCTCCTTTTCTGTTGCCATTTTTGCATCTCTAGCTTTATTTCTTTTATCATTAAGACCTTAAATAATTTTTCTTTTATTCTTTATGTTTACTTGTTTTCTTTGTCTTTTTAATGATTGCTTTTTGATTTTCAGGCTAAAGACTTCATTATGCAATCATATTAGTCTCCTACTACATCTATAAGTGTTCCATTAATTAAGATAATTTGATATATGCATTTATTAATACTCTTTCCAAAACTTCCAGCACTCTCGAGCTCCTTTTCTACTTAACATGTTTCCCCTCTGCCTAGCAATATTTTATTAATGTTTACTTTTTTAAAAGTCTGTTGACGCTGGCACTTTGTCCTGTTTCTTCCAATATATCCCAAGCACTTATTGCACTTATTGAACATCATCTGCATGAAAGATACAATTCTGTTCTTTCGTCTGTGTACATGAACAAAAATGTGTGTATATATATATGAATATATGTTTGTATACATATAGGCAGCACAAACAAGCTCTGAATAGGTATATTCCTTTAAAGGGTTCCCCTTTAATATCCAGCCAGTAGTACTTCAATGCCAGAAACAGAAAGGTTGAGCTCGTAGTTGCTGCAAGTTGTTTTTCGAAATGTAAACTAGTCTTGAATCGTGTTTTTCTGTGTTTTTACTTTAAATCACTGATTTGTGGAGCATTTATCTTTCTGCACATGTGACATGCAGAAAGTGATTATACCTTCAAAGAAACCCTGTATAAGCTTTGAAGAAAAGCCTCTGGTTACTTCTTAAAGGAATGCCTTTAAACTATTTACATAAGTAAATAATTTCTTTAAGATATAAAAAAACCCCTCATACCACAGTTTATCATACTGTTAGCTAATATCTATGGCTGTTTTTTGTGTTATATACATAATGATAGTGAAGAAACAGAATATCCATTTATGTGCCTTGACAAAAGCAATTTGCTAGATTTCGCATTCTCAACGTGTTTCGTCCCTTATACAGTTATTATTATTCAATATGAGGTAGACTGCAGCTAGTTATCTAAATTAGGAGGAATAATGGTTACATTTTGCTTTGATCATTTGGTATAAATATGTACCATGTTTATTCCAAGTTGTAAAGGTTTTAAATGTACTTTGCTGATAGCTCAGAGAGTTTGCAGTCTTTTAAAAGTAAGTAAATCACACTTTTTAAAGGAAGTTTTACATTCTTTGTTATGCAATTGGAGGAGAGAATATGAAGATGGCTATTTTCATGCTGTCAGAATATGTGCCGGAGTTCTGCATGTGTAGAGTCGGTACAGACCCACGTCATGAGCCCTCCTGGGTCTTGAAATTGTATGTACCATGTCTACTGGAAAGTATTTATGCCCAAAGGCGGGGGGAAAATGTTCGCGAAAGAAGGTGTCTAATCTTACTGCCTTTCATTTTGCTTAATCTAGTTATGCCACGTTTTGCTGAACAAGTTGAGGTTGCCATTGAAGCTTTGAGTGCGAATGTCCCACAGCCATTTGAAGAGAATGAGTTCATAGATGCCTCCCGCTTGGTTTATGATGGAGTTCGTGACATCAGGAAAGCTGTTCTGATGATAAGGGTATGTAAGGCACCTGGAAAATAAAAGTTGGGACTTACAGGAAAGTGTAACATTGGATGAGAGGAATATAGAAACTTCGTGGAATCAACTTTGTTTCACAACAAGCCAGAAAAGCTTGACATTGAAACAAAAGCATGTGCAGCAAAAAAGAATTTGTAAGTAAAGAGATGAGGGTTTTTGGGGGGATGGACCACAGTTAATTAGTTAATCATCTATGAAAAGATTTGATCACAAATGCCAATAGATGCAAACTTCATTACTGTTTCTGTAGTAATAGCATTAATTTGCCAAGATCTTCAATGTCTGTGTAGAATTTTGTTGGTTTTTCTTTTCCTAATATATCTGTGCTGCCTAGGATATGAGGTAAGTCTGGTTAAAATCTAAATTAGTAAATTGTCTTGCTGCTTTAGTGAACCTCTGCAGGGATGATTTTGAATGTTTACTGAGGTAAAGAATGTGTCATTTCAGCATTGACTAACCAGTTGATTCAATTTGCTTAGGCACCTTTACTTATTTGTTTGTTTTTTTTAAAAAAAACAAACACAGAACAACGCAATTATTATTAGGCTATATGTGTGTCTTGCTAGTCTACAGACAAAGATTTTAAAACAAAACAAAACAAAACAAAACAAAACAAAAAACCAAACAAACAAAACCCACAACAAACCAAACCTGGTTTGGACATCTCTTCAGCAATTGAAACTCTTATTTGAAAACCAAATTACCTTGAATCCGCCCCAGTGAAAGCCATGTACGAATAAAGCTGTGGTGAAAATCACAGAAAATATTTACAAAGCAAATAACAGTGCTAAACCAACAACTCATCCCTTTGAGCAAACAGGTAACATACACTTGTGGTCGTGAGTACGGTATGGCACTGATACAAGACTTCAGGCAGTCGGAGCACTCCAGAATAGCTTCATTGTCATCATCTGTCACTATGTATTAACATTTACACAAAACGCTTTTGACAGGTTTAGTTTTATAACTGCAGAACATAAATCCCGTTCCCTACCCGGTGCTAATCTCAGGTAGCCTGATTTACAGTCATGACTGATGATGGGGGCAAACCCACCCTCTTTTCTTGCAACGTTGGGGTATTTGCAACTCTTCTGGACTGGGATGGAAATAAAAGATCTGCATAGTAAAAGATCTCTGTTTTTCCGTTGATTATCCAGTTCCTTAGTCTGTAACACTACTTTCCAAACTTCTCTTAGGACAAGAACCACTTCTAAGCACAGTTTAATCATTGGTAGTCTCCGATGAGTAATTTTAAATTGCTTCATGAGACATGATCATCAGGTGCAATCTGCTATAGACCCATGATTTCCCATCCCCTACACAGAATTCCGGCTTCCAGCATCCCCTGTTCATCAGAGCTATCTCAGAGAACTTGCCATGAGACTCTCCATACTGGGTGAGATGCTTCTGCCAAGCACAAAGCACCATTTTAAATTCTGGAGGCACATTCACTTATTTCGTTGCTGTCATACTGTTATATTAACCACTCTCTTGGCAAGTTGATCAGCATGCAGGCTTTGCAATCTCCTTAGAAACATCCCAGGTTACTTCTGCAGTTGGATCGCTACTACTTTCCTCTCCTTGTATGATATGAGTTCATGAATCCTGTTTACCCAGATTAGGAAGATTTATTTTTGCATACAGACAATTAACTTATTTATGGAGCTAAATGTAGCACTCCTTACCCAGGCAGAGAGTTAAAGGACATAAATGAACTCATTATCCTTGTGTGTTAATGGGATGGGAAAATCCACATATATAAACTTATATAGACCAGAGTCTGCTGAATCAGAACCTTGTTTTCTGTAGAAAACAAAATTAGTTTCAGTCTGAGATGCTCTTTAGCATTCCCATCCGGACATCTTACATTGAAATGGAATGTATAATTAAAGGGTAAGCGTTAAACTATAAAAGGCAGGCTTTAGAATATTTTTTTCTAATAATCTGTTAAAACTCATGCACACCTTTAATTCAGGCTGTAAAACTTCTTGCAGAATTATTAAAAACAAAATAAAACAACAATGAAAAAAAACCCCAAAACCTTAAAAACTATAAAAATAGCACCTGACAAAAACAATTATTTTCAAGCAATAATTGTTCATGTGCGTGCCATGAAAGATTGAAATTATCTGAGATGATTCCCTCGTTCCAAGGAGGAAATAAAGCCACTTTTTAAATTAATTTTTGTTGGTGTTATTACTTTTAGCAAACTGAAGGAAAGGGGAATAATTTCTGTTCTTCTCTTTTTTCCCTTGAGAAAGGGAGATTTCATTGTCCCATTGGAGGAGAGAGAGACTCATTTTTGCATTGGGGACTATTATTATGATCTATACAGAAGGAAAAAACCCTTACACAACTTAGGAGGAAGTAAAAGTAAATTTAGGAGTATAATTATAGAACCTAAAAATAAGATAGAAAATAATAACTTAATTCCAACATCTTTTATGTTACTGCATCGGCATCAAATTATGCTTCGTTTTTTTCATAGCTACTTATGAAATTCCCTCAGTTATTACACAAACACTTGCTACAGTCAGGAAGAACCACAGTGGCACTTTTTCTCATTCCTATGTATCTCCGAGGCCAGTCTTCTCTCTTCACGCGTGGTCTTTGCTTTTGGCAACCTGGCCGTTAGCTGTATCTACGTTAGCACTACTCTTCCATTTCTGTGGCTCAGGAGTGCACTTTTGGAGCCAGCCTCCAGTTGGTCCCTCTTGCTGTGTTTCAGTGCGTGTTACGGGCTTAGAGCATACAACTTGATCCTTTGGTGTGATCCTGGAAGATGTGCCCTAGGAGTGTCTTAAATCCACTTCTATCATTAACGTACCTTCAGGCCATGGGAGCCTGAATAAAAATGAAATGAGGGTAGTGCAAACGGTCCTTAGCACCAACTGTTCGAATGTGTGAATCCTCGTCTACTCTTCCACGCTTGTGAATGTAGGCTTAGCCGTCATCACCTGTGGGGTAGCCGCTGTGGTGAAATCCAAAGTGCTGCTACATCTCAGATTCTCTAGAAAACTAGACTTGGTGCAGAATCCCATAATCTTTTTGAATAACCTGCCTTCAGAGGGTGCTATGGGGTTCATTGTCTACCTTGACTGCCTGTTGCTTCTCAGGTTGAATTTAGTGTTAGGTTTTACTCTAAATCATTAAACGTTTGAAGACCTGCTGCGAGAGAGGTTCTCAGTCTTTACCGCTCAGATGCTGTTTGCAGCACTTGAGTCTCTCAGGCTGCAACTGCCTTTGTACAAAAGCAAATGTACAGAATAGAATGGAGTTGAATAGAAAAGCATATTATAAGAGCTTTGTTTTTTCTCCTTAGCTTTTAGAATTAGAGGATATTTTTGTGGTAAAAAAATGGAGGAATAGCTTTTCAGTCCATCTTTCCTCTTGTTACAAGTTTAGCTTGTCTCGGTGTTTACAGTGCTGAAATTCTTATAATTGCATCTTACAATTTTTAAGTGCGTACAGCACCATAGCATAGTAGGGTTTCTATCTTTATCAAGTATATTTGAAATGGTGAAATATTAAACAAATAACATTTCTAAATCTCCATATATATGCCATTTTATGATATACATGCATAATTCACATTTTTATACTGCCGTTACAGAGGTAAAACAAAATTATATTGTTGGAAGATATTTTGTTTACAGCAAGATCTTCAGTCTAGCAGCCAGAGAGATAGTAAAAAAAAAAAAAAATTTCCAATGACTGGAAGCTGAAAGTCACCAAATTCATATTAGAAATAAAGCATGCATCTTAAAACAGAAATTATATATTTACTGGGTGATTTATCCATGATTGTGAAAGAATCTTCTGCACTGGGGGAATTAATCTGAATTTAGATGAATGAAATGAAGAATATGCTCTATGTGTAGTAGAGATACTGTATTTGAGAAAAAAAAAATAGTCCTGGGAAGTCTTATGGCCTGTGCTACAGATTTTTTTCTGTTGGAATCGATGAGTTCCTAAAATCTATTAGTTTTAAAAATTACTCTAGTTCTTCCTGCCACTGGTGGTTGTCCAAGTTTTGTTTGGAAACTGTCTCGATCTCAAATCCGTGTTTCCTATGTCTGTGTGTCTGTAGACACAGGTGTCTGCAAGACTGATTCAGTCCTTCTGTCTTCCAATTCAGATAAATTAAGTTCCAGACTTTGTTGTCTTGGAAACTTAGTTTGAAATACCAAGGTCCTGTTAGTTGTTCACAAAAATTAAGAGTTGTTATGGTATATTTAGAAGGCCCTGCTAAGAGTAAAAATCTTTAAGTCAAGGTACTTCAGTATATTTATTTTTTCTCCTTTCTGTCTAAGCAAATTAAGCAAATAGGAGACCTTTTATATATGGACTGCAAGAGATCAGGTAAAGTAATGGTGCAGGAGTGAAAAGCGTGCAACATGTTTGAAACGGCAGCATACAGATAACAGTTAACTCCTATTCTTTTTAATGAAACATGTAGCTATTTTTAGAAGAAAGTGAGGATATTAAATTCTCCATGCTTGAAAGCCTTAGTGAGTGAATCTGAAAGTTAGTTTTGAATTAGATCGCACTTGTACAGAGAGGAAATACTGAGATTTCTTGCGTTTGTAGTATATTATTAACAGTTGCATTAACTCGTCCTTTTGGTTTGCAACACATTTTCTCCAGGTTCAACATCTATACCTATTAAGTTTCAATCCCTAATGACCACAAATTTTAAGATTATGAATGTCAGCCAGTAACAGCAATAGGTTTTTTCTGAACATTTCTTTAAGAATAAGTCCCTGAAACATAGAATTTTCAGAGTATTTTAGGTTTTTAAGAGGTATCCTGGTGTCCCTACTGGTTACAGTGTTGAGATGTAATATTTTGAATATTATGCCCTTACTTTACCGCAAGTCTGACCATGAAAGCCTGGGAAAGGGCTGCACATTACCTTTTGGAGTCTTGTCTCTAAAAGCGGAGACAGAACAAAGAAAGAAGTGTATACCTGGGAGGAAAGGGCGCTGGTTTTACAATGACCAATGCAACCGGCTAGTTGCATGGACTTAGAGGATGGGGAAGCTGATTTAAACCAGCCAGCTAGTTTATGAAGAAGGGACTGAAACTCTCCACCCTGTTCTTATTCTTCACAGTAAATCCTAGGCAGATGAAAAGCTGAGCCCTATGATATGAAATACTCTCTTTTACTCAGGGAGTTGTATGATTCTCTTAGTAGCTGGTTTGCTTATGGCAAATTTTAAAGTCCCATCCTGCCCTCAAGCATCTGAGCAGAGTGATTAAAGGTGATTGGCAAACAAGACCGTTGGACATCATACCGATGGATACCAATCCTTTTTTTTTTTTCTCCTGTGGCAGAAAGACAAATTCATTTTTTCACCTAAACTTCATCCTCTGTCTATCCTGTTATGTACACTATTTGTACATGCATCTTTTCAGAGATGCAGCCTGAGTTTCATTACTATACTGTCATACTTGGTTATTTCTTCCTTCAGCGCTCAGCATCAAAACACGTATTTAATTCATATTCTTTAAGCCAAATGATGATGAATGTGTTTTACCCTCCTCATCATGTGCACTTTGCCACGTGGCTAGCAAAGCAGCTGATTTTCCGTTACAAACAGTGATGCGCACTTCACGTTGGAAACCAGGCTGTAATATAAATATCACCAGAAGACTTCTCTACATTATGTTAGAGGGTTTGGACCAGTTCCTAGTGACTGAGCATCTTCAAGACAGAGCTGTAATGACAACTGGCAATGATTAGCACCTCTGCTAGCAAACTTGACGTTGCCTCCAAGCATGAAATCATTTCTTCTGTAGTGGTTGGCCCTCCAGGTTAAGACTGAGGCATACGGGTATCCAGTAAGGTAGGATTTCTCCGCACAGTTACTGTGATCTTCTTTTTCTACTACCGCTATCAACAGAAGCTGCTCATAGCCAAATTGTTGTACTAGATGCTATTCAAACACAAAATGGAATATTTTCTTCCTTCTAAAGCCTATTTCTGTTTTTTGACCATCCATATAAAATATAGTACTAAATAATGATTTAAAGTAGGCTCTTTGGCTCTCCATATATACATAAGGTAATTTTTTTTGCTCCTAATTAGTTGCTAGAAGGTGAAAATACAAAATAAACAGATCCATCAGTTATCTTTTTTGGTCCCTCCCTGCAACAGTTTAAATAACCTGAAGGCAGCACGTACATAACTAGATTTAATCAATCTGCCCAGACACCCTCACACCATTCATAGCACTAGCAATAGAGATAGCGTGGTTTTGGTTTAGGGGATGTGGCAAATTCCAAAGATCTGTATCTGAAAAGAACCATGTGAACCAACAGCATAAAGCGGATTATGAACTTTACATTTGTTTCAAAACTGCTTAGACATAATTTACATTTTCTTTCAAGGGGAAACCTCGTACTTGCTTTGATAACTTTTTCTTCCAGGATGTTAGTTATTTTTTCCCAGGTATTTACTTTCTCCTTTGAAGATTACATGGAGATTCCAGTAATATAATAGTATTGGTGTCCATTTATATATGAAATAACATTATTTTGATATACTACATTCCAGTTTTTAGTATTTCCAAAGGATATTTGTTCCTGGAACTGCATTCATCATTTTAACAGAGTTAAAAAAATTTGCAGCAAGGTAATGATAAATGCCATTTCTAAAGAAAACTAGAGCTGAAACAACTTAATTTTTAAGACAATTCAATTTCAGTCCTTGACTGCTTGGGCAGACAAGTTAATTTCAAAAGAAAGAGAAACAGTATTTCCTGGGCAGGTAGTCAATGAAATAAGAGCCTGCTGTCCATAGGACTTTGTCTGTATCCTTTACAATCTTGTCATCTCCTCTCCTTTGTGATCTTTCCGTGTTTCTCTCTCTAGACCCCTGAAGAGCTAGAGGATGATTCAGACTTTGAGCAGGAAGATTATGACGTTCGCAGCCGAACAAGTGTTCAGACTGAAGATGACCAGCTTATTGCTGGCCAGAGCGCAAGGGTGAGTACAAAACCCACGTACTACATTAAGTGTCTGTATAGCTGCAAACCACAATCTGTGCCTCAGAAAGCAGATACCGTGATTTCAAAGTGATCTTCAGGGTCACTTAAGAAAGGACGCGAGTAAGTTAAACCGGGCGTTTAAAGTTTTTTCGTGTCTCACCTATTCAAAAAGCACTTCTTTAGGCTTATGGGATACCTTGTGTCAGCCCTTTGCTCCAGCTAGTGCTGTAGGAGAAGGCTATGCAGGTTTGGAATGTGCTGTAACTGTGGGAGCAGTTAGCTAATTAAAAAAAAAAAAGGTAAAACAAACTTTAAAAATCCCATCAGGGCACCGTGTGCTGTATCCAGAGGAATCTTACATTAGTCATGTTTCCCAGTGTGCAAACCTGTCAAGAAGATCTGTTTAAGCTACCGAGAAGTCCCTGTAATTTAATTGTAATTGAAGACATTTGTAACTGAGTCAATGTAATTTTACCAGGGTAATTACATCATGATAAACTTGAGTCATTGTGATTTGCAACCTTAGCTTGGGCATGGGGACTGCAAATTAAGCTGATGTGTGCTTCAGGGGTCACAGGTGCTGGAAAAGTGAAATTTGTTAACACTCAGGGTTGTGCCACTCTCTGATGGGTTTACCTTTTACTACACAGGCTGCTCAGCTCAGATTTAAAAAAAAAAAAAAAAAAAAAAA